GGTGAGAAGAATAAAGAAAGATAAATAAAAGAAAACAAACAAAAACAACACTACAATATTCACGTGATATATAGTAATGTACATACAGGGGGGTATTATGCAAAATTAACTTTTTTGAGTTTTATATCATGTTATAAGATAAGATAAGATAAGATAAGATAAGATAAGATAAAACTTTATTGATCCCACCATGGGGAAATTTGCACATTACTGCAGCTCAAAAGAGGAGAGGGGGTGAGAAGAATAAAGAAAGATAAATAAAAGAAAACAAACAAAAACAACCCCACAATATTCACATGTGATCTATAGTAATGTATATACTGGGGGGTATTATGCAAAATTAACTTTTTTGAGTTTTATATCATGTTATAATGTCATTCCTTCATCAAAAACATACCCAGAGTGTTGCTTTGACTCATTCGTGCATGTTTGAGAAAMCTCTCCTGTGGCYKTGTGGAGCTGCCTAAACATCTGCTGATTCAAAGCACCGCCTATTTACAAAAGTTCATCCCTGGAGCACCCCTCCCTTGAAACATTGCTRTGAAGACATGCTGAAGTGGAAGTGTCTGAAATGGTAGGGGGGTTCTTACAGAGACAGAGGCCGGTGTCAAGGCATTTAGATGATATATTTTTGATATATACAGCCTCTTCATAACATCTGAAGGTAACACAGTTACTTGTGGTATAGAATTTAACTTTGTGCCTGGAAAATGCACAATACTAATAAATGAAATCAAATCCTCATGTCCATATCTAGTTCACCTTCTCGAAGCCCTGTTCGACCACCGTCATGTTCGGGTTGAGCTGATTGTGAACTCTTGGCTCCATCACAGCTTTCTTCAGGTCATAGTTAAAAAACAAAGAGTTCAGGATGACCTGTTTCAAGCCAGAAAACGCAACTTCAGTTCGACACCCATAAGAAAATCTACAGGAAATGTGAGCAACTGACTTAGACTTACCAAGGCGGTGGCTGTGGTGATTTTTGTGCCCCCAGATGCTCCTACAACCATTTTCACTCTGTTGTCTTTGTCAAAGATTATGGTGGGACACATGGAGGACAGAGGCCTTTTGCCTGAAGCAGAGAAACAATGTGGTCAGGACTGTTTGGTGGAGAGAAAACATCAACTTATAAAAGCTCTGTGGTTTGGAACAGAAATTTCATGAATTAACTTGTCAGATTGGTAAATCAAAAACAATATGTGTCATAATACAAAATAAGCCACACCTGGTTGGATGAAGTTGTTGGGCGAAGGTGGGATTCCAAATCCATTGGTCATGTGTGGAGAGCTGAAGTCGTCCATTTCATTGTTGAAAATGATTCCAGTGGATCGAGACATGACTTTAGACCCAAAGCTGTGGACATGATTTATTTATTCGGTGTATTTCATGAAGAATTGTTATTACAAAACATTCATCAGGCAAGTCTTATGAACCAAAGTGAATAGTTGAAGAAAAGCATCAGCAGCCTTACTGGAAGTTAATAGTACTGGTGGCTGCCACAGCGCTTCCATCCTCAGCGATGACTGACAGGTGAGCTGTGCCRTGGTTCTCCGGGATGAAATACTCAGGCTCGTAGTAGCTGTCTGGATGGGTGGTGTCATCTGTAATTTTACTTCTTATGCCATCAGCAAAATAGTCTGATGTCATGTTTTGGATTAGCTGTGGGGTGCGAAAAGGAGAAAATAAAAAAAATCAGATTTTTTCAGGCTGATTAGATGACCTCAGACCAGAATTGTCATGATCAGTGTTCATTTTCCTTAGTTTTCTAGTGTTTCAGTGKTCCCCTGTGTATCTCTGCCCTGCTCCACYCCCGTCCATGCTCACCTGTTTCCTCTTGTGTCTCCTCCAGGTGTTTCTTGTTGTCCTTAATTTGTTTGCTTTTATATTCTGTGTCCTGTCATCAGCGTTACGTCAGATCATTGTTTCCTGTTTCGTCTGTGTGCCCGTGAGTTTTGCCTCTATGCTAAGAGAGTATTTTTGAGCTGCCTTGCCAGCCTTTTCAGTTAAAATAAAGCCTTTTTGTTACCTTTTTGGACCTCGCCTGCACCCTGGGTCTTTTCCTGCCTGAAACCTGTCATGAATTCCCATACAGTTTCAAGCAGAGGGACTTGTGATGACAACGAGCAAAACTGGAAACGCTCCAATGATGAATTAAGGAGAACGAAACATGGGGGCGCTTACATCGGTGATGTTGAGATATCGAGGGTCTCCCAGTCTGCTTCTCTTGGCGTAAGCGAATCGAAAAGCCTCCACGATGCGATGATACGTCAGGGTTTTCATCTCCGCTGTGGAAACACTTGTGTCTGTGAAGTTGTACCCTGCAAAGCATCCACAGGAGCAACATGTGTGAAGTGAACACAGTGAACATAAAATAGAAACCTACAGTATGAACCCTTTCTGTACGGTTAGGGCTGCCGGTTGATTATGTGAAGCACAGATTCAGGCCTCTGTGCTACAACAGATGGAGTTGGGTGGTGAATTAAATCTGGCAGGCCAAAGGGTTTTCTGTGTCCAAAAGCAAACATCCCTGAGGAGACCTGACATCCTGAAACCCTCAGCTAGGCTGCTCACCATCCACTATGTTGAGTATGAGGCCCAACACGGGGCCACTGGAGGGGGCGTCCGGCACGTGGATGGTGTATTCGCCAACGTTCAGAGACRGAGGCTTCTCATTCAGCACCGGCTGGTACTCCAACAAATCATCAAGGGTGATGATGCCACCTGAATTATAAATTGATAAATTAAAAAAAGGTTTTCTTCAGTTTTTACACTGATGTGCAGTTAATTGTATTGACCTTTTATTCTTTCTYCTATTTCTATGAAACGAACAAGAATTCATCACAACACCTGCTGCCTGGATGTCCTCGACGATGCGCTGCGCCATCGTCCCGTTGTAAAACACATCGGGTCCCTCTTCTGCAATTTTCTGGTACGTGTCAGCCAGCTTTGGGAAGCGAACAATATCATTTTCTTTCAGGATTCGTTTTTGAGAGTCACAAAACACCTCGCTGAAAGAAGACAAAAGCAAAACAAAGACTAAATTTAAAAAACAAAAAAAGCACACACTTTGAGATGAGTTTGAAAATGTCTGACTTAATGAATACAGCAGCAGTGCTCCCAGCAGGATCAGAGCGCTGTAATGAAACAAAGACTGAGCCAAGTGAGGGTTATTTTTTACACAACTCAAAGTCAAAGAGGAGGAGAAAAGACTGAGAAACTACAGCTTTTCATTAACCATGAAGAGCTAATGTTAACCCAAGACTGAATAGGATAATGTTAGGAAATGACAGTGCAGTAGAATTCATTGCACTGAATGCTCACAGAATTACCGGTACTTCCTAACTAAAAAAAAAGAAAGAAAGAAAGAAAGAAAGAAAGAAAGAAAGAAAGAAAGAAAGAAAGAAAGAAAGAAAGAAAGAAAGAAAAACAGAAAGTAATATTACACACAGACCAATATTAGAAAAAACTGGTTGAATTCAATTTCATTACAAACCCATTTTCAAACCATTCATAAAATATAAATAAGATGATTACATCATATAGCCTATATGTCAAATACAAATAAAACAGTTTGTTTAAAAACAGAATGTCAAAATTCTAACCAAAAAAAGTTATCCTAAAAATCTTAGTCATTCATTTTCATTTTAATCTGAGCAACACATTTTGGAAATCTTTTCGTGAAGGAATCAAAGTTTCGGATTTGTAACAWATGGAAATATGGTGGAATATGTTTATGTTCTGTTTGGGTCTAGAGATGTGATGTTCGCAAACGATCCAAATCTTTTGAACAGCTCTTTACAACAAATGATGGGAACCAGGTTGCAGATGTCCTTGTAAACAATAACTCCTTTGCTTTTTCACAGTTAACAGCAGAGCGGTGGAATACAGCAGCTCAGGGAGAAAGTGGGGAGAGGGATTTCGTTTGGCAAAACATGTGCTTCCCCCCACATGACGTGATGACGTGATGACGTTGTCTGAACTATTACGTCACAAGGTCTGGACTTACCAACTACAATTTGGTCGTCTTTGTTGTCCTCTGGTTCTGGGTCAGACTCTGACTCCAACATTTAAGACTGGATGGACAAGTCTTTTGTTTTGTCATCTTTTAATTAAATTGTAAATAAAAACGTTTCTGTGCAGCTATATAGTCATAAACCACTCTATAAAACTGTAATGGACWGGCCTGGAGCGGGGCAGGGTGTGAAGCACCTTGTTTGCATTTAAAGAGACATACCTCAGAAAAGGGGTGAAAGAGGGGCTTGTGGAGTTCAGACCAAAACATCGCAGTTCCACTTTATAAAGACCTCAAATGAATGATTTCAATGTGGAAAAAGAAGGATTTAAAAGCARGAAATGTCTATTTTAAGGATATACTGWATTACTGAACTATTTGCAAAGAAAGTTTGATATTAAACGAAGATTTCAGGAAAAGAAAGACAGGAAGTCATTTCAGCATCTCTGATCTGGAGTTATTTGGAGGTTTTCAGTTTCCGTGGGGCTGATGGATGTTATTTATTTATAATGTTATTTTAAAATATTTTTTTTACTAGGCTAGCCATTTCATATCTAAAAAGTGTCACACCATATCAAACACATTAAAATGTGACTACTAATAATTATCCTCTCTAAGTGTTGACAGAAAAGCAAGCAAGAAACACATTTTAAATCACTTTGTAATCACKTTGTAGAACATAAACAATGTTTTGGAACGTGCCTCATGTATTTTCGGATCATAGATTTAGGGAACAGAATYAGGATTCCCCTCACCACATGTTGGCATCTTCCTGGATGGATTCTCTGTTCTTGAAGATGGCGTTAGCCAAGGCTTTCCCGATGGGAAAGCCATCACGTGCCAAAGCGATGCTGGGCTCGAACAGCTCCTTCCATGGAAGCCTGCCATGCCTTTTGTGTGCCATCTCATAACCACGAATCTCCCCTGGGATCGCTATGGACAACGCACCTGTCAGACAGAAACAACAGCGCTGAGGATTTGGAATTTGCTTTCTTCTTCATGATGTTATTAAAATGTGGCCAAATATTTATAGTCCCTATCATCGCCACATGCTGTGAGGTTTTATTTGGTGCAAAAGAAGATATGAAAGGCTTGTTGAGGGAGAAATAATCTACTTTAGGGAGCTGGATAAACAGCTTTAAGACCAGAGTTAAATCCCCGCTGGCATATTAGAGCAGTTGCAACAGATTAAAATCAAATTAAACAAGTAAGATGTGAGTAAAAGTAAAAAAAAAAAAAATCTTATTACTACCTGAACGAGAGAGCTCGGTGTTGTTGCCGAACATGTCCTCAGTGGCATTCATGGGAGCCGTCTCCCTCGCATCAATGGTTTCTACCTTCCCTRTTGATCAGACAATGGAGACAAATTAGTTAAGGGTGCAAATTTTTTATTGTCATTCAGCTCTTGTTAACCACCTGAAGGTACAGGAGCATTAAGAGTATCACCGACAGACTCGAAAACAGTTTCTTCCCAAGGGTCGCCCCCCTCCAGCTTCCAGACCCATGCACTCCGGTTTGAGAGAGGGGGTTACGTTCTCTAGCTTGCAGAAATACTTTATTTACAATTTAATTGAAAGATGTCAACAACAGAAGACTTGTCCATCCAGCCTTACATGTTGGAGCCAGAGTCCGACCCAGAACCAGAGGAGAATTAAGMTGAAGAAATTGTAGTTGGTAAGTCCAGACCTAATTTAGCAGTTCTGTCRCAACTAATTTGACGTATTAGCTCAGAAAACATCATAGAAAATAAATAAAACAGAACAGACTGTTGCAAGACCCATGAACTGTGACTGAGACCAAACTTTCTGACACTGGGCAGCACATTTGATAGTCTTGAGACTTCATTGTACCCTGCACAGATTCAAGACCCCCCGTGCCAGATGCAGCAAAGCAACCCCAGAACATAACAGAGCCTCCTCCATGTTTCACAGTAGGGACAGTGGTCTTTTCTTCATGTGCTTCATTTTCCCTCTGTGAACATAGAGCTGATGTGTTTTGCCAAAATGTTTCATTTTTGTCTCATCYGTCCATAGGACATTCTCCCTGAAGCTTTGTGTCTTATCAACATGTAGTTTGGCAAATTCCTGTATGACTTTTTTATGATTAGGAGTCCTACTTGGTCGTCTCCCATTAAGTTCACTTTGGCCCAAACAACGATGGATGGTGCGATCTGACAMTGATGTTTCTTGAGCTTGAACTTCACCTTTAATCTCTTTAGAAGTTTTTCTGGGCTCTTTTGTTACCATTTGTATTATCTGTCCAGGGAGGTTGGCTACAGTTCCATGGATCTTAAATTTTTGAATAATAATGCAACTGTAGTCACAGGAACATCAAGCTGCTTGGAGATGATCTCATAACCTTTACATTTAACATACTTGTCTATAATTTTCTTTCTGATCTCCAGAGACAACTCTTTCCTTCTCTTCCTCTGGTCCATGTTGAGTGTGGTCCACACCATGTCACCAAACAGCACAGTGAGTATCTGTAGCCCTATATACAGGGCCATTGACTGATTACAAGATTGTAGAMACCTGTGATGATAATTAGTGGACACACCTTGATTTAACACGACCCTTTGGTCACATTTTTTTTGCCACTTCAGTAGAAAGCAGAACTGAATATCTGAATATTAGTATCTTAGCTTCTTCATCATCAGTGGCTTTTTTTTAATTGGAGAAAAAGAAACAGAAAGAAAAAAGTGAAATGTAATGAGAAAGAGTGAAAATGAGATTAGATGATATGTGAAATATATGTTGAAAAAACACAAGACAGCACACCTGACTTCTTGGCTCCACACCTAAAAAAACAAAGAGAGCAAAACCACAGCAACAAAAATGCATATCTATATAATTATAAGGACTATAGCCTTGCTGAAAACCATGCCCATATACAT